AGCCCTTCTGGCTTCGTTCTGCAGAGAAACCCAAACCCAAAGCTGTTCTTTCAGACCTGGGCGAGGATGTACCTGGGAAACATGTATCTGAACATAACATTAAGCAAGCAGTGAGTACAGGAGGGAGTAATCATCTATTTTCAGCAGCCTGAGTAGCTTAGTACATTTAATTAGCCCATAAACTCTGACAGGTTGTGGTGACTCTTCTCGCACTCTGTGTTACTGGGCAGGGATTTCATAGACACACTCCTGATCATCATGGAGTTAACGGGAAAAGACAGATTAACCACAGATCCCTGGATTTGAGCCTTGTTTTCTTCCACTGGCACCAGCCTGGTGTTAGCGGACCGTGGGACCCCACCAGATGAGATGGTAACACTGGGTCTGATGAACGGGGTGGGGGTGAAGCAGCCCTCCAGGCTGAGCGTGCTGCTGCTCAGGTGCAAGCATGGAGCAAACCCAAGGAAGATTTTAGTTTGATTCTCCTGGAAGGACAGGGGCATTGCACTTTTCCAATATGAAGCATCTTTAATGATGAACCTAGAGATGATGCTCCACCCTCCCTGCAATTTGCACATAAGCATCCTCTTTAAACAGTTATGAAAACATGAGTGCTAATGATTTCAGCTGTCTAGTTGATTATGGTTTCGTGGGAAGTTTTTTTTAATCTTAATGGGAATTAAGGTTTCTTTCTGTTTTTAAAGAAATCGAAGGCTTGATTCCAGACTGCATCTGAGTTTTTGACTTAGGACATGAGGATATCTGGTGTGGTCACATCAAGTGAGGATGGGAGGGAGAGACTCACTGGGGTGTGCCTTTTTTTCACCCTCTCTGTATCTAGGATAAGAAGTCCCATTGAATGAGATAATTGTATTGGTTCTAACTTCAGACAGTGGAAAGGAGACACGGGAGTGTTGAGGATGCTTTAGCACAGGCAGCTGCAGAGGATGCAGAAGAGAGCGGGCAGCGAGCTGAGCTGGTCCTGAGGGATGAGAGCAGAACCCTCCTGTTTGAAAGGGGGGAAAACACATGAAAACTGGATGATTTTCCAGATCAATTTCTGACTGAGATGTGGCTAAGAGCTGTTCTTATGAGAGGTGGACATGAGAAGAACTTCCACAACAGCAGATGTGGTTCTTGCAACTGGAGAGGAAAGGTTGCCTTCCTGAGATTTCTATCTCCAAAGCATCCTTTCAGTTTAGTTCAAAATATTACCAAAAGCAGCACATATGAGTTGTAAGCACTGAAGCACCGATGCCACATTGAGTAATGACCTAATCAGAACCTAGTTCTTAATATGCTTTTTGGCATGACTTTATGAAACCAAATTATTTCAGTTGTTTACAGCCGGGTGTGCTTTTTTCCATGGCTGGGTATTCTGTCTTGCCTCCTAGCAGTTTGTTTGCTGATATTAGCCCTATTAATGTCTGTTGGCAGAGATTTTCCTTTTCATTCAAGGGCTGACAGCCAGCATACCTTTGAAGTCCTTGAAGAGTTGGTTGCCTTGGGAATTTTTCATGCTGTAACCTATTTCTGTTTTTTTTTTAAGTCAGTTTTTGATCATTAACTGAATGCACAACAATCATCTTCATAATGTCATTAATAAAGGTTTCTTAACCTTGCTCATGGGCATTTAGGGCATTGTGCAATAGTTCAATAAAAACATTACAAAACACAAATAATCACAGCATATAAATAGAAAGAGGGACAGTCTGCAAAGGTCTGAACATCAAAGCCTGAAGATATTTAGAAATTAGAGCTTTATTCAAGCCTACCTTTAAACATGAAAAAAAAAAATCAACCAACCAATCAAACCTCAAACCAAAAACACAAAAAAAACCTCAACCCCAAACACAAACCAAAAATAATAAGACGACTCTACTAGGAACAAAACTCCAGAAGGATGAGGTTTAAAGAGAAAAGAAAAAGGCTAGAAAATTGAGGAAACTTTATTTGCATGAATTCAACACTGGTTATACTAAAGAAGCAGTTTGTAATGGAGAAATCGACATTTTGGGAACTAGTTTAAGAATGGAATTAAAGAGCTACCCACCTGCTTGGGGAGTTATTGGTAAGTTAGGATGGACACTGTGGTTAGATGTGTGTATGAGAATACATCAGTAGTGGGGATTAAATAGTCAAAACCATTATCAGCAATCAAAACTTAAAGCTATTGCTTTTTTGTTGCTTAATAGTCAAGCACAGTCCACTAAACCACTGCAGAGTCTCCAGCTCTTTAAGCCCAAAGACTTGGAGGATGTTGCATGATACCCATTTCACTCTTAAAACTGTGTTTTCTGCTAATACCCTGAACTATCAGTACAGCTGGGAAATATGTGTGTTAGAGAGAATAGGAAGGTATCTCCTGAGAAGTTCTGTAGTTCACTGCTGTCTTCTACAGTGACTGGTGATGGCTGGAAACTGCTGTACGGTGGTTGAGGAATGAGCATCTGCTCGTATTAGGTTTGTATTATTGGTGTTTTTATGGCAATTCAGGCTTCCACGTAGTAGCCTGTGCCTATTGGTAATTCATAAGATAAAATTTTACGTGGTGGGCGTTGCTTGTAGGAAATATAAGTGCACCTCTCAGCTCCCACATGCACTGCTCAGTAATCATAGAATCATAGAATGGTTTGGGTTGGCAGGGACCTTAAAGATCATCTAGTTCCAACCCCCCTGCCATGGGCAGGGACACCTTCCACTAGACCAGGTTGCTCAAAGCCCATCCGACCTGGCCTTGAACACTGCCAGGGATGGGACACAACTTCTCTGGCCAGCCTCCCAAAGAGCAATTAGCGATGGTAAACATTAAGTATGAATATAATGAGCAAATGGTATGCATGCACACTTGTCCGTTTTGGTCTTGTTCCCCTCCACCCCATTCATTTTTCTCAGTGATAGAATAAATTTTCAACATATTAATACTTTTACTATAGCCTTCAGCTTTTATGTCATCACACAATAGTAAAGACCAGTTGATGGGAATTTTTGTTAGACTTCTGTTTATTTGCTTTCAAAAGGTATGTTTTCCATTTAAGTGGGCAGTTGTTCAAGAGCTGTTGCAAAACTGTGTTACACAATGCAAGAATTCCTGATACATAAGCAATGGACAGGCGTGGCGAGCTGTTGTAAGCTTTTTAGGTCAGTATGCCATGAATCAGTATTTATTATCTAACTTTTTCGGAGTACGAAATTTTGACCTTTTAACTGTGCAGCTTAGTTTGGGACTGTGCAAGGAGGCAGATTATGCACAAATATTCTCAACTTCTGAAATCTTGGGATTCGTAGCCTCTGCCTCAAAGTGCAGGCAGCTCTAAGATGAAGTATTAGTAGTCTCGCCATGTACAGCTTAGGCATCCTTTCTCTTCTTGAATAGCTAAATGCTAAAAAGATTGAAGGCATGAAAAAAGCTGTGTGTTTCCTGCGCTGTTCCCTCTCATTCGTGGGAGATCTCTTTTTCAAGGGCAGGATGTGACCTTTGAGTGTCTACAACATTGTAACGGAGCTGACATCGTTTCATAAGCAGGGATCAAAAAGCATATTGATGGATAGAGTAGTGCCCTGTGGTGTTTTATCCCAACACCACGGTAATATAATCTGATAATCTGTCAAAGCTCCTATTTAATGCGAGTAAATACTTCCAAACTTCATTTCTCATTCTTCTACCAGTTTTCCAAAGCACTCCCGCTATAGTTGTCAGCTTTATAGCAATGACGTGATTGACTTGATACCAAATATTTCTAATAAAGAGAATGTAAATCATTTGGAAAAATGATGTTTGTCAATCAGCAAGCCCTGATGCCTTTCTGGCATTAAAGTCCGAGGAAAACAGCTTATACGTAAATCAGAGAAAGCACAAGATACTTTTGAGGAAAACAGTAGGTGAGGTCACAAGTTTCCTGATCAATGTTCCTGCTTCATAAAGCAGATTAACGTCTTCAGACTGCGATCTGAAACTGCATAGTGGCTTATCTGGTTACTGCTGTGGCTGCTGTTCGGGATTGATTGCGTTTAAAAGCCCTTGGGATGTTTCACAGGGTATAAATGGGAAAAAACATGTTCTTGAGTGATTGGGTAGAGTTTGGGTTGAGCATCCACCTCTCTCATGTGTGTGCTAGTTGGCACCTGTAAGTCACCTGAAACCTGTTGTTTGTCCCTGAATCAAGCCAGTATCTGGTCAGTATTAAAAGCAGCAATGTTTTGTTTCCAAGTCATTACTCGGAATCTCCTGCTGTGCGTTTTTGCTTCCAGTACGTACTCGAAAATTTGTGTAGTTTTCCCGTCTGATTTTCAGATAATGAAAGTCATACAGGTGTCGGTGTTGGGATGATTTTATAGGATAGACCTGTGTCTCCTTCTACAATTCTACAAATAAATCATCCTGTTATACCGTCAGAGGCACTTACAGCATCCACAAGCTGCTTACTGCTTTAATCTCTGGATGGATTTAGAAGCCAAATGGCAAGGACGGATGGGAGCAGCACAGCACGTTAATGCTCATCTGAAAGTCAATTGCAGATTTGACTTGTGCCTTCATAACATGAGATGGATGCATCAGATAAAATGGGAAGACTAACAAAAAAAAAAAGGGTGTTTCTTGCCTCTAGGGAAACACAAAATAAGTCTGTGGGATGTTCCAGTTGCTTAGTTTCTCCCAATTTAAAAAAAAAACCCACCTTTTGTCCTTGAACTACTTGAGAAAGGGAAGCTGTGTCAGGATGGTGAGTTTTTTCCCCCGAGATATTTAGACATCTGGTGGTGCAGACAGGTTTTCAGATGGCCACGATAGGAGTTTGGTATCCAGTTGCTTTTGAAAATCCCCCTGACCTCTCTTGAATACTCAGCGACCTCGAGCTTTTGTGTTACAGCACTGCCCAGGAATGCAGAGCTTTGTGGTCCCATTGTTTTTGTGTTTGGATCTGTTTTGTGGCCTTGAGGGGGGTTCAGTAACTCGGGAGTACATGGGGTGCGCTCTGTGGAGTTGATGGGCCACCGGCAGGATGGGTGGAAAGTACACCTTGAGTAGGGCTGTGTAGAGCACGTGTAACGCGCACCCACATCGAGGTGCCCAGCAGAGGCGGTCCGAGCCGCGTGGGAGAGACAGCGCAACCCTGGTCCCCAAGTTCAACTTTCACGGCAGCTGCCGTGGCTTACGCTGGGGTTAGGACCTTGTTGTCCTCGGCATTTTACAAATGCAGCAGCATGAGACTTCAAAAACCGCTAAGCAGGCGTATTTTGGCAGAGGAACAGAGCCCGTTTGTTTCATCTGAGAAGACTATACAAGCTAAATAGACCATCCGGAAAAGAAAAGAGGTGAGAGCAGGAACGGAGGCATCTGAGTACAAAATGCCTTTCCCGAAGGAAGAG